TTGGCGCAAGAGGCAACTGTCTTATTTTTCAGTCATACATTTTAGAGATAGCGGCGAGGAGTATTTTAAGTATTCTCATCTTTATTTATATCCGCAGAGATCCTGACAAACTATCCGGAGAGATATCCAAATGTTCTATCATAATGCCGTTCTGTCAGGCGTACGGTTACTCATAATGCATATAGATTATCGCGACGGGATTAATCGGAGACACTAATACGAGCGATCGACGGACGAAGGGGATAATTAAAATTCGTGGTGCGATCCCGACGAAAAACAGAACGGTTAGCGCTATCGACGTCGATATCGACCGCGCAGGATTCCGCTAATTAGTGATGCAAATGCGAGTTGCAGCGTTGCAACAGGCGATAGGACCGGTGTGGATACAACCAGCCTGCTCTTAAGATGCCACAAAAACCGTATAGCGTATCTATTAAATGCACGTCGCAGGTGTAACGTCAAAACTCTTCCGCTAACCCGTCGTATTTATGGCTCGTCACGCTTTTGCAAGCCCTACATTCTACCCGCATTTCGACATTATCTTCGAGATTAATTAAAGCAGAGTTAATTTAAAAAATATAGATAAAGACAATTATCGATATCATTGGAATGTCTTACTTGACAAAACAAGTCATTTTTCGAAATACCTTTTTCCTTATTTAATTTGAACAATATAAACAGTTTAATCGAAAGATAAGATCGATAAAAAGTATAATTAATCTTTATAACATTCTATTTCTGTATTATTTTAAATCATAAATAACTCAATATTAATTAAAAATGCACCATAAAAAATTTTGCGCGAACATATTGCATTTTCAATATTACACATGCTTGAAATTAGCGCGGTAATTGCAATCGAGGAAAAAAAGAATCCTTTAAATTACGCAAATGACTCGATGGAAAAGTTAATACTACCGCTTTCTAGCCTGCAGCAATGACACCACGTCCAGATCTGCATTTATAGTCGAAATATCAATCATTGGAAACACTCGGCGAGAACCACGAGCTCAAAACTCGCGGCTTTGCCGGCTACGATTTTTTCCAACAGAGGTGCGACATGATGGACGAGAAACGAATTTCACAATGGATAATTATACGACGTAAAAGCGGGCAATAAACTCACTTTCGCGCTAACGACGGCTGGCTGACCGACGGCTGGCTGCCGAACTCAAACCAGAATTGTTCGCGATCCTCGTCGATTCTCTCTCTCTCTCTCGCTCGGATTTTCATTCGGATCGAAAAGCGGGGACCGGTTTGCTCGCCGGTTCGCTCCTACGACTTCCGGCCGGATTCGCGAGCGACGCCCGAGCGGCGAGAGACACTCGTAAATTATGTCAAACTTACGCGCCTGATATTTTCCTCACACGACCATCGTACCACCGGGATCATTATCGGTAAATACACTATTAGCGCCGCCGTTGCTCAAGTCCGGACAGTCAGGCCGGGGGTAAGAGAGCCATGTACCAATCTAGACTCGTAAAACTGGCCGAGCGTCTGGTAATAATGTGCGAACGTGCTATCCATCAGCTGGGACAAAACAGTTAAGCGGCTATACGGCGCTGCTCTAAAGCGGCAGCGATAATGAACGCCGCTCGGGCGAGGCGAAATGTCGGCGAAAAGAAATCCGACGGAGCACGCGCTAAATCTTCCGCTACGCGTCAGCGAGGAGCGATGGCAGTGGGCATAATAATTCGCGGTTACATTTTACAGTTGATCGGTCGCCGCCGCCGTCCTTATTACAATCGTAATAGACCTATTACTTACAACTCTTCTTTTTCACCGTTGCTATTTGAGGATATCCCGCCATTTTTGAGTGAAAGTCAGCACAGCGCGAAAGTTAGCACAGTTTTTGGAGAGTTCCAAGATTTACATCCTGAAAGCACATAGACTTAATCTCTACATTTATTTACGATAATGAAGATGAAATAATTAAATGCAATAATCCTTTCATATTTGTGCTCGATCGATCTTAATATGAAAAGTTTTATTTTTTAAGAAAATTGGAAAAAATTGTCGAACATTCTTTAAAAGATGAAACGGATATTGAGGTCAAAATTGTGATTAGGTGCATACATGTCCGTCATGTAATGGTGGTACCGTCTCGCGCAATGTAAGACAGTCGATTAAGAGAGCGCTGGTAGATGATGCGGCATACTTGCCCGCTAGTTAAGTACAGGAGCCGTATTGCGATCGATCGTTAATAACACTTCGGAGTATAATCGGATGCCAGGATCGCCACCTGCTGTTTCCGTATCATCGGAGTAGCCTAATTCGAGTACCCGGTAGTTATCAACGATGCGAATTAAAATCTCTCTCGTGTGGTCCAGGTATATTAGTCATGTAGATGGCGGCGCAATTAAATTCCTCCACACGAACTAGAGTGATGATCCTACAGTACATTCGTTCCTCTCAGTTTCTTATTGTATTTTCTCAGATTTCTCTTTTTCTTTCTTGCTTCTTGCCATAAATACGAGCACAAACATAAAATAATTTTACCTCCAACGTAAACAATCATTTTTTTTAAAAACTGAAAGTATAAAATTCATTAAGTTATAATAATTAAGTTATATGATTACAATGATTGATATGCCAAAAATTTAATCTTGCGCGATTAGAGATCTAAATTTAAAAGAACAATTTTAAAGAACAATTTTAATTGAAATTAAATTGCACAAAAACACACATTTTCATACACAACTTTAATGAAACATACAAATATTCTTTTGATAATCTTTATTTATAATAAAAATTATCAATTTCTACTTTGAATGCAAGAATAACTTAGGTAAATATAAAACGACAAAAACTGTCGATGTCACAAAAAGACTAAATTATTTTCGTCTTCCGGGATAAAATCACTCGCGATAATCAATTTTATCTTTTTCTTTTTTTTTTGCTAGTGGAGCGTTAATTCTCGGCAAGCACCACGTGTTTGCGTGTATGCTCGAACATACTTCTTGTACACACCGATGTAAGTTACGACGCGAGTAAAGTCAGAAGTATCCGCGGGCGTAGCCTCTGTGGGCTAACTCCTAATCTAACTCCGTAGAGTCGGCGCTGCTGTCGGTGATAGCATAAATCTATCTTAATGATATCACCGCGTAATGCCGGGGTGACGCTATCTCGGCTGATCGGCGCACGTGAGAACTAACCGACACCTCGGCATCTGGAGTTTTGCGAGCAATAGCGCGCGAGGAGAAGATGGTATCGCCGAGATTTTCTCTCCGGATTTCTTCCTGTCCGTCTCGCGCGTCATTTAGGTGGAACCATGCAGTGACAAGCTGCGTGAAACGCCGTCCGGGATATGACGGGTTATGTCTGCCAACGACCGCGAGTAACTTCCATTCCCTGTACTATCTCGTTATTTCTTGACGAAGTGAGAAGATTACCAGAAAAACGCCGCTATGAATACGTTATTACTCAAAGTCTCTCGCGCGACATTACTTCAGGAAATAATTCATTCGCGTTATTTGCGCAATTTCATGAACTCATTAATCCATTAATTCAAAAACGAATTATAACTGTGAACTACATATAATTTTATAGGTCTATAAATTATTATTTAAATTTATATGAATTATTGTAATGCAAATGAATAATACTTTTATGCATCATAGTTTCAAAGAATTATTGATTACAAAATTTTATAAGTGTACTTTTTTACGCAATATATAATTTATCATATTTTTAAGATAAAACATAATATTTTGTTTAAAAGGTGTGATATATTATATTCTGAAATAAATTGTTTCATCAATTAGTAAACTGAAATAAAGAAGTTCATCAATTAGTAAACTAATAGAAAAACTTAATTCAATTACTCCATGCTTTTTATATGGTATTATCATTGCGTGAAAATTTTGTTAAAAGTTGACATTGTCAGAGGCGAAGATAAATCAGCTACTACTTAGATCTTAGATTTAATGATATGCTTTTTTGCATCAAAGCATTTTTTGCATTAAAACTCCGGATGGACCACCGAAGAGAATTGCGCTCTTGAACGGAAGAACGACGAACGGTTCTTCGACTATAGAAAGGATCTTAGGATAGAAAGAGTCACCGTTAGAATCGCATTAGTATCGCTTGATAGATCCCCGGTATTAGCGTCGCGTCGACCTCCGGGAGAGAGTCCTGTCGGAGAATAGGGAGCAGTTAGATCGCAGCATTGTGACCGACGGATCCGCAGGATGTCTAAAACGGTACCGGGAATCGGCAGATGTCTTTCTCTCTTGTTCTGCGTCTTCCTCAAATGCCACTAATCACTTCTTGATCCTTTTTAACCCGCTTTGACCTCGTCGCAAGAGTTATAGCAGTCGGTTTTATTCAAATTACCTCAATCAGAATTTCGAGCCAGATTTGGAGCTGAAAATGGTACAACTAAATTTTGCTTCTCGGATAATATGATAAGAAAAGCACTAATTGTCTCTCGATTGTCTCCCTTCGATGTTCGAATTCAGAAATGATTGGATCGCTAGAAATTTGTAAGCTGGTGAGAGGAAATTGATTTGACTAATTGAAATAAAAGTAAAAGCAAAATTGATGATACAACAGTATATAATTGATTGATTGTAAAGGGAACATATAAAATTTGTGAAAAGTCAATTACAAAACAAGATTTGCTGTCGTACATTTCGGACCACTGCAATTTATCGTTAAAATAAGACAAAATCTAAATTCATAAGAGTTATCCCCGCGTCACTGATTAGTAACTATCGCGTCGATTAATTAATCCTTTGCAGTCCTGAAGAGATAAAATTTGCTTTTATAATTTCCAAACCAAATTGAATTGTACGAAAAATAATGTATAGTAATACAATAATACGTTTCTTGATAAAAATTTTCAGTTTAAAATTTTGATGTAAATTTTA